TTAAGTAAGTAACTTAAAAACTTTAACAGTCAAATGTTGATTAAATAAATAAAATAATATGATCGAATTTTTTTTCATGACATCAAATTTTTCAATAGGAGAAAATAAATGTATATCTCAATATTTAATTTTAATCTTATGAAAATTTAGATAAAAAGGTCAACGATTAAAATGATACGATAGAAATTTGGAAAATTTATACAAAATTCAAATTGATTAAAAAAAATTATTTCCGCTCCTTTTATAACCGCTTCTTAATCTTTAGATTGTTACTTGAATAAATTAGCATAAAATTAAATTTAAAAAAAAAAAAACCGAAAAAAAGGGGAACGTTTTTTTCTCCAATCTTTCCTCATTTTACGCCATTTTTAATGGATAATTAAAAATAATTGTGTTTGAAAAAACGAAACAAGAAATAAATGTAATTTTAAAAAATTGATTATCCAAAAAAGAAATGAAAAAAAAAGGATTATTTAGATTTCGATGATAATTACCGATTAAGATGTTTGGCATTTTTTGTTGATTCTAATTAATTTGTAAAAAGTCGAATTAATAATAAAGAGAAAAAAAATTGTGATGAAGGATGAAGAATTAATATATAAATCATTAAATGATATGTTTTTCATTCCGGAATTGAATCGGAAAATAATAAAAATGAAAAATTGTAAATTAATAACCGAAAAATATTTAAATCAAGTATATCTGATATATTTAAAAATCGATGTTTATGAAATATTTGATGAAAATGTGACGAGAAGAGATAAAAAGAAATTTATGAAAAATTGTTGTGAAATCTTTGTATATAATTAATTCAATCATTCATTAGTTGTGAATTTTAAAATGATTTTTATTTCATTTTATATTCTTATATGATTAAAAAATCTTACACAATAGTGCATTTCAATTTTATACTATCCTTCATTTCAAATATATTCATTTATTAAGCTGAAACTATTTATCAGTAGTATTAGTAAACATATTTAGTAAAGAATTAAATATTTAACAGTGTTTTTTGCATTTCAATAGATTGGAAAAGGATTACATTTTTTTTTCCTTTCTTTTTTTCTGGATATTTATGTCATTTTTGAATTTATAAAGGTCAAAAAATCATTCAACAAAAATAAAATGTGAAAAATTTTAATTAATTGAACTTATATCTGAATAGAATACAATTTAAATATATGTTGCATGGAATGATCGAATGAAAAATATACAGCAATTAAAATTTTACCGTTTATTTTACAAAATTTTGTCATTACCGTTTATTTTGTAAACTTTTCTCATTTTCCCATTTCTTTTTTCTGTTTGAAATTCAAATTGTATATTTGTAAAATGAAGCAAAAATTCACCCTTTTGGACAATTGGAGCAAATGCTATTTCGTTGTTGGACAAGCTTTTTGAGTGATAAAACAAGTTCCAACGATCGAGTACAGGTAGAATTGAGCAAATAAAAAATAACATATCGAGAACTTGCAAATACTGAATCCAATGTTGTTAATTCATTTTGCTCTTCGTTACCACCTAAAATCAGAAAATTGTTTATTTTTTTTTTTCTAGTCCAATTAAAATATAAAAAAAGTTAATAATTTTTAAAAAATTAAAAATCAAAAATGAAAAAATTGTAAAAGTTATGAAAAGGTTCAAAAATTG